GGGGGGGTGGCCCCCGCGGTTTTGCCTGCTGCCGCTGCCACCGGCTGGGGCCTCCCGGTAGCCCCGGGCAGGTGGCAGCCCTGGGCGAGGAGGGTACTCACCCGGCCCCTCTTTCTCGCCTGCCGCCCTGCCGCAGGGCCGCTTCTCCGGCACAGCGTTCTGGTCCCGCGCCAGGGTGCCCAGCAAAAAACCCGGGTCCACCCGCTTGCAGATCCGCTTGACCTGTTTCTTCCGCCCTCTCTCTCCCCTGCCGCCCTGCCGCAGGGCCGCTTCTCCGGCACAGCGTTCTGGTCCCGCGCCAGGGTGCCCAGCAAAAAACCCGGGTCCACCCGCTTGCAGATCCGCTTGACCTGTTTCTTCCGCCGCGGCCGGTATTTGTAGTTGGGGTAATCTTGCATGTGTTTCACCCGTAACCGTTCAGCCTCCTCCACGTAAGGCCGCTTCTGCGCGAGGCTCAGCGCCTTCCAGGATTTGCCTGTAACAGAGAAGGAAACTCCCCTGAGTGCCTGCGGCAGCAGGAGGAAGGGGGCTGCCTCCTGGGACACCCAACTGAAAGCCTAGGAGATCTCCCATAGCTGGGACAGGGCCTCCCGTTCACCGTGCGTGGAGGACACGGAGCGTGCAAACCCGGCAGGAGAACAAGACGGCGCCGGGATGGCAAAGAAGCAGGGGATTGAAGCGTGAAGGCCAGGTCTTCATGCCACGGTAGGTCCACCTACCCCTCCCCCCATCCTAAATCTTCAAAATGGGTTGGGAACGTCCCTGAGCAGGGCTGAGCCCTGCCACCACGGTGCTGTGGGGTACTGGAGCAAAGCAATGCCCCCGATGCGGGGGACATGCGCAGGGGGAGCGATCTTGCGATGTCTCTCTAGGATGGGGAGCCCAGCAGCAAGCCGGTGCAAAGAGAGGGGACGGGTGAGGACATCGTGGTGGAGCAGGGCTTGGGACGTGCCCATCCCGGTCACGTCCCAGCCCTGCCACCCAACAGTGCCGGTCCCCTGTGGGGACGCGCGTAAAGACCCACTGCTGCGACCTCGCCGTTCATGCCACTCTCCGCTCCAAAAAACGAATACACAAAATGCCTCCAAGACACGCAACAGTCGCACGGACAAGAGGTGCTGGAGGTGTCTGTATCCCACAGCGAGGGTGTCCCAAGCTGTTTCCCAGGGTGGGAGAAGAGGGAGATATGTGGATACAGCGCAGAGGGAGATATGTGGATACAGCGCAATGCGTTTGATGCCTTCCCGTCTGCCAAAGAGGCTGCAAAAATGACATTAATAAGCTGAGATGCTGCTTGGAAAACCCAAACCACCAAGGAAAACACCGCAAAAACTGTCCAGGGAACCACAAACTTTGGGCAAGAGAGCAGACAGTAAAGCTGTGTTGCAATCCAGGCAGCTCTCTCTCGGACTGTTTGGGTTGGTTATTTCTGTTTTCCCTCTCAGTCTCATAGAAGAAATTGGGAAGGGAGAGAAGTGGGAAGGAGTGGAGGAGGGCTGGGGAACCGGTCTGTATTAAAAATGGATTGTGACCCCTGAAAAGAAACAGCAGAAACTCCCGCTGCCTGGCTATGCGATATTGGGGTGGGCTGGTGAGTTTGGGGGAAAAGCGGGTCAGTAAAAAGAGGCCAAGAAAATTTGGTGGGGTCCCTGCTTGCGCTGTTTCCTGGGGCTCCCACATACTGGCAGCCCTGAGGAGGCCCCTGAAAAGAAACAGCAGAAACTCCCGCTGCCTGGCTATGCGATATTGGGGTGGGCTGGTGAGTTTGGGGGAAAAGCGGGTCAGTAAAAAGAGGCCAAGAAAATTTGGTGGGGTCCCTGCTTGCGCTGTTTCCTGGGGCTCCCACATACTGGCAGCCCTGAGGAGGCCAAATGGGTGCACGGTGTCTGCCGTCGGGTGCGGGACACCGGCAGCGTTGGCAGCCCATTGGGTGCTGGGGG